CAGTACTTTTTGGGTAATTTTGCTTGAAAGTACAGGCGAGAAAGGGCGTGCTGTTTTAGCACCGCTAGTTTTTAGTGATATTGTGTGGGTCTATCACATTAAACAGACTAAAGGCGTGGTGTTCTTTCTGCAGCTGTTACAAAGATGTCAGTACTAATGCCCAAATGAAGCCGTAGCTCCCCTCAAGAAAATCCTCAGTGAAAGATGATTTACTTTTTTTTTGCGCAGGAATGATTGACAGCAGTGTGAAGGCCGTAGTCTCGGTTACAATTTCTGCACAATTTTATAGGTTCTAGCAGTGGTGTGAAGTACAGATTCATTCAAGGCAAAACTGCTACCCGTTTCGGATGTTAGTTGTGGCGGATTCACCACTCATCGAGAGAAGAAGGCCCAGAATGTGAAGCAACAGATACGTAATTTCTAATTTTTTTTCATGAAAGGGACATCTGAACTAAGCACTATCATAGAACAATGAATTTATGGTAATAATACAATCTATTTATAAAAATCACAATATCTTTTTGCCGTTTGCTATGATGAGACACATTAAAAATATATTTATTACATGATCAGCACCGAAGTACTTTAGATGTGCCATTGCCCTTAAGAATAAATGAAAATATTAGAATAAAAATAATTTTACTTTCTGTTTCAGAAAATCTCATGATGGTAGAAGTTATAATTCACTTAATTGATTCTGTTGTATGTGTATATGTGTATGTGGCATTCATAGTGAACGAAAGTTGTCTTTGGGTAATTTGGACTAGGTTCGATTTGTGTTGGGAATGGTTCCTAAATGAAAGTGCGTGGACAATCCTAAACCAGGTATTTTATGAGAGAACGATAATACTATTGTTCGTAATATAGTTTTGCATATATGGAATATTTAATTTGGAATTTGAGTTTGAATTTGTTTGTTGGAGATATTTCAAACTGTTTTAAGATACACAGAAGGGTTGTTCTATGAATTGTTGGCTATTTTTTGTTTGATTTGGGAGCACCGCCCGACACGGGAGAAAATAATCTATTTCAAAGCTTTAGGATCTTCGATGACATTATTATAAAATGAAATGGAAGACTGCAACATAAGCGAGAGCAAATTTTCAGTTTCCTCTTTCATAGGAAGCGCTCTAGATTATTGTCAACGCAAAAATCTCATTATACATTATCAGCAAAAATAAAACCTCCTTTAGGCGTAACGGCATTTCCCCCTTCGCAAACAAATGAACTTTCTTTTCCATCACAACCTAAACACGAAGTCAACGCAGTTCCCATTTTGAAGCTACTTGACCTAGGTAACAAGGTGGGATATAAGCCGCACGATGCAACGCTCCGCGCTTTTTTTGTGAACCTTCGAGCGAGCGAACGCGCCGAGCACAAAGAGCCGGTGAACTATGTCATTAGCCTCTGTCGTCAGAGACAAAAATAAAGCGGGCGGGCGGCTTCTCGAGCTACTAGGGAGAGGGCGGGAGGGAACAGGCCGTGTGTGTGTGTGTGTGTGTGGGGGGGGGGATCGACGGTGGCGCCGCCCATCGGTGCGTCTAGCCGCCCGCCCGCCCGCCCGCCTCATTTGCACGGGCCTGCCGCTCATCGATTTCGGATTTGCAAATGGAGGGTGAAATGCTCTGTCACCCGTTTTGCGAAACAATCGAAGCGCGGAGAGGCCCGCCTGCCGCCGGCGCATTGGGCGAATTTGGCCGCTGTCATTGTTAGCGGAGGTCGAGAGGGGGAGATGAGTGCATTGGCAAACCACGCACCATTCCTCACAGCTCTTTTTCAAACAAAAGAGATATCGTTTTTATATTATAAATATTCCAGTCACAAGATACAAGCAGTTTAGGTTTAAGTCAATTGTTTCATGTCCGGAGAAGACGACACAATTCTCAAAAAGAGCTTTCAGCAAATTGTGTAAGAAAAAATATGTTAAGTCTATTAATTGACGCTTCGAACCATTACGGGTATTTATCTACCTGCTTTTCACAATTTGCTTAGACAACGCCCAGACATCTCCCCATATCTGTCTCCAAAAGTAAAGAACGAGGAAAACTACTAGCGCTAGCGGCCATTCTACTTGCCGCAACGCAGGGGGGGGGGCTATATACTATGAAATACACTAGTCGGAATCATGTTAAATTTTCTGAATGATAATTATAAATAAAACATTGTTTAAGACTTTTTATTTAGAAACAACTTTCATTTTCCGATATTCTACATTTAGGGACGAGGTATTAAAACGTGATAACGAATTATAGCTATAATAAATTATAATCACCAGAGAAATGCCAAAAAGTATAATAAACAGTACTAATGATAAAGTTTTTGTGTTTGAAATATCATAACAACCCAACGTTTCAGCGCACGGATAGTCGCTACACGCGCCCGAAGCGTGATCAAGTATTTTTATAATAATACATAAAATTGAAAGTAGTCTATCAGAGGAGCGAAAAACTTCTAGTGTTATAAAGGTTAATGGTCCAGTTGAATAGTAAAGAAAAAAACGAAAGAAAACAGGAGCTGAGATTGAAACACGATGACAATTATGTGCTTAGTCAGAGAAAATGGCCAGTTGTAAAAATTCATATAGCAGCAAATTTTAAAATAAACTTTTTATAAAATATTTTCGATCTTTCAAAATGCGTCGCTTGTAATTTTGTTCATTTCGTCTTAGTCACCTAAAACTTCAGTGTGTGGATATCGCAAACAATGAGTAAATAATATTGCAAACAGGATAAAAATGCAAAGGAAGTCTGTTTTTGAAAATATCTGCAATGAGTCTCTAAAATGAGGCGTCAAACACTTGTCTGTGAGCTTACTGGGAGAAAATAATTTCAAAACGCTTTTGAGCAAACAATTTTTTAAGCCGCAGAAAATTGAGCACTGGCAGTGTGTAAGGAAAACTGTAACGAAATCGAATAGTCAGAATAATTAGTTACTGCTTGCCTATGTATATCGGTGCTCGTAGAAAAATTGAGCAGATGGTTGCCGCACAAACAGTTTTAGCAAACGTTGCTTGGAAGATGTAATGCGTAAAAAGAGATTTCTCCTCTTTTCCTTAGGGATGTGCTTCAGCAAAATTCCGCTTCAAGAAACGTAATATATTAAGTTAGAACATTTCTTCGCAAAATATCTCATTTTTTTAAATTCTACGGTAATGTCAAAATTAAAGTAAAATGATGAGTTCATATTCTTTACTTTAAAAACAATACAAATTTAGTATTACCTATTAAAGCATTTCTCGCCTTTTTTATTTAGGAATCACGAGAAAAAATAGGTTTATAAACGTAATATCGACTTACTAAACCAAAACGATAACACAATGAACAAAAATGATCATAGAAAATTACTATTATGGTGACGGAGATGTACGAAAAAAAAGACATCATAAACAATCAGTAAGCATTTTCATAAAATTGCCAATGCTATAAACAACACTGATATGTAATACAGTTGTGAACATGATCTGAACTAGTATGATACAAATAGAAACAAATATTAAAAATATTTTAGTGTATGTTTATTTATGTCGTGTCAAATGTTATGCACAATAGTTTCATTAGTGTAGTGCATGTTGCATTCCGGAAGATGACAGTGTTCTCCGCTGGAAGAAGAGATCCAGCGACGACTTGCATGTTGACATGCGAGTGCTTCCCTCGCGGCAACCCAAGTACCCCAGCGGCAACAACCTCTGGTTGGCGTGGCGTAGAGCACGGAAATGCGTGTTTATAAGAGAAGAGACGGAGACCATGGTGTCGAAGAAGGAGATGGTTCTTTCCATTTAGAGGCTGTGCTGTGGTTAGTTTCTCATACCACTACATGGTCATTCTGCATCGCTACATTCTGCCATCATCGTATCGTTAATCTCACCTTCCTATCAATCAAACTGAGGAAGAAATCTACAAATAATCATGGCTCTAAGCTGATCAATAGAAGATGCCTAAGTCTCTTTTCTTGCCTAAGACCAGCTGAAGTATGTCAGGGAATCAACTGATATGACTGCATTGCCTCTGAGCGGGAGATTCGGGCTGTGACTGAGATTGGACTCTTTGACACTTGCTCAAAAGTTAGACCCAATTAACCTGGTGTATGGAGGAGAATTTTAGTGGCCGGCTACTCTGATCGATAGCGTTCCCTGATTTCTCTGATTCACACAAGCCGAATGCTAGAGCAGTACCTTAACAAACGGGTCACGGACCGAACGCATTCCTTTCTGTCTCTTGTTTGTCCGATCCTCACCCCTTCCGTACAGACACACTTACAGACACTACACTTCCACACATGCAGGAGATTAGATCTTATCATGGTTGGGGCGATGCCTCGCTAGAGGGAGATATTTCGGCGGGGAAAGCGCAGAGAGCCGACGAATAGGGGGGTGCCGGATCTCAACAACCAGCGGGAGAAGAACAACTCCTTCTCGCGGAATAAACTTTCTCTAGGCTCACGGGACTAAGACACATAGCAATTGACGTGAGTGGAAACATCAATCAATCAACCGTATATCTAAATCACTTTATAAATTTTGTCGAGTGTAAAGCTCTTGCTACCCCGGAATACAATTTCTCTGAACATTTGATTTATTGATTGATTATTGATACGTGTCGTTAGTACCATAAGTTTATTGCAGATGTTTTCATCTGGAGAAGGCGGTTATCTTTCTCTGCTGGATGGTGAAATCAAGCTAGGCAGGTATCTCCTCTCAGCGGGGCACCGCTGCTGCAGGGAGACGCTGTGAGGAAGTAGCTCTGTGTCGAAAATCCTGCCACCGTCGGACATTTTGCTTAAGACGTCCCGGTCGGACGCCCTGCAGTGGCATCGGTTGATGGCCTGCGCCACTCCTCGCGGCCTCTCACATTTGGAATGTGGTCAAGCGTCAACGTTGTGCGGAAGCGACGGCAGACGTACCTCTCCCAGCTGAGGCGGCGCGGCGCCCCGCTGCCGCCCCCGGGCGTGGTGGCGCGCTGCTGCGGTGCGTGCGCGTGCGTCGCGGCGGGGCCGGGCGTCGAGCCCCGCTGGTTGAGCAGGCGCGCCAGCCGCCGTACAGCGCGTGCGCCCCCGCCCCCGCCGCCGCCGCCGCCGCCGGCCGCCCGCCCCGCCCCGCCGCCGGCAAGGCACAGCACGGCGTCCACCAGCCCCGGGGGCGGCTCGGGCGAGCTGTGCCGGTGGTGCGCGGGGCTGGGCGAGCTCTCGCCGCCGCTGCCGCCCCCGCCGCCGCCGATCCCGCCGCCAAAGTCGGTGAAGGCGATGCGAGGCGTGGGCAGCGCCGAGGTCGAGCCCTTGCACTTCCCCTTGCTGCTGCCGCCGCCGCCACCGCCGCCGCTCTGGCGCGGGTCCGCGGCATCTGTAGACAGAAGAGCGCTGCGTTTAGATCTGGTGTAGAATCACCCGCTATGTGCCGAAACACAAGATGCTACATTCTTTTCAGAAATGCGTTGCAGACACTATTGCTAATTGGTTGGGGCATTGCACAAAAGCGCACCTCTAAATCAGACTTACCGACATTTATTATATTTGATGATTTATCTAGCCATAACACTACTATATACAAATTAAAACTCAAAGATATGAATCTTTCATAATTATTTTTAATTTACTGAGGTTTAGCATGGAGCATCCCATATGTTTCATAATTCTACATTGATATCTCTCGACTTGACAGTCGCATAAGAATGAGGAGAAGCACACAATGTTATCAACACTTAATGGCATTTTTGTCTTTTCGTGCCTCTCAGTTATTGCCAAAAAAATCCAGTCATCATGCGTAGTCGCATTGTCGAAACTTCGCCGTTCTTTAACAGACAGGCCTGTCCTTAAGCGTATTGAAATCTATTTTTTGAATTTGTTGGAATGGAGAAAAGTTCAAGGTATTGTAGAGAGTTGCAAGATGATCACTATTTGTCAAAGAACAGTTTGTGTAATATAAAATACTTATACCAAAGTCATACACTGACATTTGTCCCTAAATGGTATGCAACCCACCATACAATTGTGTCAGGAGGGTGTATAAAATGACTTTGTGTCAGAAAGAGACCTACCAAACACCGACGCATGATAAGGTAACCAATCCTACATTCACACGTGTAGCGTTTTCCCTCCATTTGGCTTAGATCCAGCCGAAAGCCTTTTTACCTTTGCGTCCTATTTCGACACTAGATTCGACCCATACACAAAAAAAAAAAAAAAAAAAAAAAACACCTTGCGGGCTCCTCTAATGTGGACGTCAAGGAGCAGAATTCAGGCCCTTTGAAGAACACCAAACATGAGAGACAAGTGTTACAAACAACAATACAAAGGCGGAAGCGAACCCTCCACCCTTGCAACCGAAGCCATTAGTTGGTCGCTCCAAGCCACCTCGACCATTCAGGTCGGCACGTAGAACATTGTTATATTAACTTCCTCAACATCTGTTCATTGGAGAAAAAGGATCATATTTCATTCTTATACTCGCTTTTTGTTACATTTATTTCGCGAAATTTTGTATAATAAGCTAAGAAGGTGTTTCTTGTTGTCACAGTCATCGCCCTCGCACAAACCCAACACCGAACTGCGAAACGCCATTGATCAGAGGTGCCGAGGACCTTGAGAGCATGGGGAATCGGACCCCAGGGCACTGCAGGAAACTCTCGCCCTCACCCCCCCCCGCCTCCTCCGAGGCCGACGACTAACGACCCGAGCCGAACTCCGCCCCCGGCTTCCAACTTAACCCGATTACTCCGCTACGTGCCGCGACATGAGGACGCCGCCGCAGTCGCAGGCTGGTGGGCTGCCGCAAGGTGCAGGCGGAGAAAACTACAAGATCCTTCCCACGCTCGTGGGTTTGACATTTGTTTTAGTAGTTTGTTCGATCGCCTCCATTCAGTTAGAATCACGGCCACTTTCACTGAAAGTAAGTACAGAGGTTTCCCAAGACTGAAAAAAGTAGAGTCGAATGGAACATTTGCTAATGCCTTGTTTCTCTTTTATTACTCACAACATTTAAAAAACAATTTGGATCTATAATTTATTTATTTCTGGAAGTATATAAAATAATCTTCATATTTCAAAATTGTCGGCACATAATAGGAAAAAGTGCCGACACTTCAGATCAATTATATACATTACTTTTTTCAAATCCGTGTGATAAAACACAAACAAAGATATAACATCGAAAGTATATTAGAGAACAGTTCCCATGAATATCTACAATTATATAATTTGAACGGAAATATAGAGTTCCAAACAGAATACATTTATTTGCGGCGCGATAATTGTCTAGTAGAATGTATTTAGAAGGCGGTGAGTTGTATTGAAAATTTAGGCTTAAAATTGTATCATGAATTGTTAGCAAATTCATACGTATCATGAAATTCACAATGTTTATCACACTTATATTCGACGTTGTAATAGTTTATATTATGAGTTTAAAAGCGACAAAAATAGGAATACTCCGTTTATAATTCCCGATCCCGTTAGTTCATATTGTTGCCGAACAATCTACAGAGTAACCTCTTATAATAATTTAAATTAGAAAAACCCGCAAACTTTAACAAATAAGAAAATATTAAGGTATTGGCAGTTACTATACTTACTTTCAATATTCCAAATACAAATCCTAATTAAGTACAAAGGGCTAGGCAAATTGGGAGTAAATTTTAACTTTCATGCAGGCAAAACATTGAATCATAAGCGTGAATCTGAGCAGAAAGGAAATTTAAACTCTGTTGGTTCAGAGAAGAGTACTGAAAACAGGTTGATTCTTGATTCAACAAAGCAACTGCGATTCGTCGTTTGTGTTTCTTGAAAGTCGAGTCATGCCAAAGTCAAGATCATACACAGGTGTAACTACGCGAACACATTTACTTCTAGCTAGCTCAATTAATTACAAGATGAAGCTACAGACAGCTTGACGGTGCACAGGAAAAGCCTAAGAAGTAACTGGAAATTCACGAAAGAGAGGAGAGAAGTTGTACCCAACTTATAACAAGAGTACAGAATTTGCAACGATGCGTAATGGAAGCTTTTCAAGTCGAACAACTTGCTCAAAGGCTTTTCTAACGAAGAACAGTGTTACGTCGTCATGTAAACCATTATTTAGAAGGAAGCAAAAATATTAATTAAGTTATTTATTTCCACATTTGCTGTATTTCGAAAGTAGTAAATGTCAGATAATTATGAACTATCACTTTTGAAACTTTCAGCGAATGTTGTTTTAATTGGTTTATTTATATATTTTCCATGTTTCTTATTTACTTATGTATGTACTTATTTGCTTACGTTTTGGAACTATTCAGCAGCTAATTCCATTGAGGTCTATTAGTGGTTAATGAGTAGTTGATATCGAAAACTGATTAACATAACATTAACGATGAAGGAATTGTGAAATGTGAGGCAAGATAAACGATACTTTGATAAACGTAACCCCAATAAAATATGGTGAGCGCTCCATTTTTTCACCACAATTTCTTCGTAAATTGAACAGAGATTTAATAAGGGCGCAAGCGGTGAAAACCGAATGCTCTAGCCATTACACCATGAGCCCACAGAATATAATATCCGTAATTAAATGAGTACAACATATGTTGTATCATTCATTCACTTTTTTGATTTTAATATTCATTATTAAAACATATAGTAATGTCTAAGAGAAGCATTAATGTTCATTCCATACCAACTCACACAATTAAAAGAAATTGATGGAAAATATTTTATAAGTTGATCACACAAAACAGAATATCTTTAAATGAGAGCAACCAAAATGAACGAATCAGCATTTTTTATGATAATAAAGAGTTTTCTCATTCAAAACAAGTTGATGCAAACGAAGGAATAATACTGTGACGTCATGGATACTCACAGCGACCACAGACACAGAGCTTTCATATAACAAATATATTTATTAACAAAGAAAACAAAACAAACTATATACACTTAATAATCTACTTACATCCCTAGCTCTGATAGACCTACTATCCCCTTGATCGCGGGAGCGATCCAACCGCATGAAGATGTTTTGATTGGTGGCATTCGCCACTCCTACTTTGAACCGCGCACAAAGCCTAGCTTCCGTGACCGGATGTCCACGCTGGGTCACAAAGCCTTCTGGCGCACCAACGACTGGTATGCCTCGATCGCAGGACCCGATCTTATCCGATTGAGTAATCCGCGCGTGAATCGTGGCTTCAACCACTCTTCACCTCGCGAGCACGCACACAGCATCGCTCCCCCGTTGACCGCAGTCACCCAAGGACATAAGTCCGCAGGGCTTCGTCAAACTCAATGACTCCCAGCCCTCCGCGCAGCCTGGCTCGCATATGCACCACGTCTTGGGGCGGTCCAATGTTTTTTTTTGCACACGCACGAGGTTCTCCCACCGTCTCGCAGAACCCACCACTGGCTCTGTACACGCTGGTTATATAGGCGAAAGCGCCCACTGTGACCTACTACGTCACGCCACCGCCTCGCTTGTTATAACATGTGAAAGATATCTATAAGCCGGAAGACGCCAAAACTTGTGTCTCCCGTTTCCGCGTTCATGCCTTTACGGGAAAAACCCACTTCCTGTGGCGAGGCTAATCCTCTGCCAAGCGTCCCCAAATAGATGCAACGAGGCACGCTGGCTAATACGTTACAATACATTCGATATGTAATATGCGGGAAAATTAGAATCGTTTATTGAAGAAACTACATTTCGAGTAACTTCTCGTAATTCAGTCAGCCTACTTAATGAAATATACAAAAGGCGTATTTTTTACTAAAAGTGTGGAATTATTATATCGTTTCGATATATCGATATATCTTATTAGTATATCGTTTCTTTTGCCTTGCCCTGTATAAAGTTTTTCAAAAGACTTAATATGCTTGTAACAAATAATGTACTTCCGGTCAATGACTCTCATCTCGATCAGGTTTTTGTCCAGTTTCCCTGAAACATTCAGCAAATGCTGAGATGGCCCGTTGTTTTGCTTCTGGACGTTGATGTAGCTTCACTATACGCACGTTTTGTTGAACTCTCCTTTTGCTTGTAATGGTAAGAGGAGAGGTAAGGGTGAGTTACTACTTTGTTAGCATTGCTAAAAAATAAAATCTGTAGTTCGTTTACCGTTGCAAATAATTTTTCTATAACTCGGAAACGCCTATGTCTTACCTGTTTTCAAATGTTGCTAATCTGAAACGTTAAAATGATAGGAAGGGATTCTGGAGCTCAAGAAAACGTGCGCAGATGATCTTTTCCCCATCATACTCTGTTTTGTACTGTTTTTGTGATTAAATATATCTAAATCTAACTCACTAATTACTTCTAACTCGTTAAAGTAATTTCTAACTGGGCACAGATAGTACGAGGCACCACTAAGCTATTTTCGAACCCTCATACCTTTAGAGCATTTTTTGGCATTCTTAATTTATTACTCATATTTTCGGGATTATACGATTCTTCGCCCATTTAACAGACCATCAAAACCCAACAAAGATATTATCACGCAGTGAAAATCAGCAGATTGCGCTGTTCACAGCCCCAAGAGCCGCACCCCTCGGGGCGAGTGGCGAAAGCCACGAATCGGCGCGGCGGGGGCTCCGACGGAAGCGGAAGACGCGGCTTTCCTGCCGCCAGGAAATGAGATCGTCCTGGCGCGTCGGGGGCTTCGTTCGGTGGCCGCCAGGCGGCGCCGCCATCGACGCCTTGAGCGAGCGATCGATCCTCTCGCTCCGCCGGCCGATTCGCAAAGTCAACAAGGGAGGCGACAGTTTACCTCCCACAAGAAATGAGTTCACGTGATTGAAAAATTTACGAAGAGGACCTGTATCTGTAAGTAAATAGGTTTAAAACTTATGTCGAAATTTTTTGTTTGTTCGTACTTTATGAGCTACCGAACTATTCATCTGATTGCAATAATACTTTGTCAATTTATTGTTGGCACTAGCACGAGTAATAGAGTCATACCACGATGGAAACATGCGTATGTCTGTCGCACATCGAGACGCGTTGATTTTATGCGTTTATGTTATCTCAAGTGCCACTGTACAGAAGGTGAACGAAACCCACTGGACCCGAAGTATTAAGAGAATTTTCGCGTCATATTTTGTCCTTAAGAATATGAAATATTAGCCCGAATTGTGGCTTGAACGTTACCTCGGACACATTTTTCTAAGACATGGTCATACCCAATACATGCCCTCACTTGAGGGAGAACATTTAAACTGTAGGATACGTGACCAAACCAGAACCATGACAAACCTGATCATGGAGCTTACACACTCTAGTGAGAAAGTTTTTTATTTGCTAAAATTTTGTAGAGCGTAGAGTAAAGTGTGTTTAACAGTCACGTGACCAGTACCGTGTTAAGTGTAGTACATTCCAATAGGAAAGCAATGCCGGGTCTACTATGTACAAAATAAATTTCCCCATTCAGAATGCTGAAAAAATAATAAACTAGTGGTGCTACATCAGAACATATTTGGCGTATTATTTGTAGGTTTTCCCAATCTTCAATTTAAAGAGTAAATTCAGAGTGTTCGACGTATATCGAATCTACACCACTCTTGCAAACATATATCGTACTATCAAAGAAACAAGTCGCAGA